AGCGTAGAAGGGGATTGGGGTGGGCGTGTAGCTGTACGTGTAGCTGTAGGGGGGTTTATGGGGTGTTTGGTGGTGGGAGAGGTCCTGGAAGGCGGGCATGGGGGAGACGGGATATGGTGGGTAGACGGTGAAGGCGAGAGGATCGCAGAAGGAGGGCGAGGGAGGGATCCCCGGCATGTGTTGCGATAGCGGATCGTGGTAGATGGGCATGAAGGACATGACCGGGGCATGTCCGTACTCCGGAGGTGGGTATGTTGGGCTAGTCCCGGCTATCATGGGCCTTGTGGGTATCAGTATGCAGCTTGGGATGCAGGGTATGCGGGAATTATCTGGAGATGGGGCTTACTCCGGAGATATGGGAGATGGAGGCACGGCCATGTTCTGCGAGACTCTTGGGGGCGTCGAATACCCTGCAACGTAGTCCGACGGGATTCCGCAGTGTGGACTCTTTGTTGGCCCTGCAATGGGTCGAGTGGGTGAGCTAGTCCGAGCCAGCGTAACGACTAAGCTCTGTCCTTCCCAGCCGTTGGTCGATAGTCTATCTGAGGAGTTGTTAGCTGGGGACTCGAGGCAACCTTCGTTCTCGCACGGAATACCCACGGTAAGTCCGCCATGCTTCATCTTCGTTTTTCACGATGATCTGGCCCAGTCCGGTGGGAAACCCGTGGTGATCATCGTATACTACCGCTTGTCGGATGTGCAAGGCCGTTTGGCGAACTAGATCCTTCAGTTCTTGCCAGCGACAATGGGCTGGAATCTGTCTCTTCAGTAAGACAGCCATCTGGAAATCCGACTCGCCGCAAGACACTTACACCTTGGAGGAATAAAACGAATTCCTCGTCCGACCCACGTGGTCTTGACTTTCCTTTCTGTGGTTGAGGCATGGTGCAGCTGTGGATAGGGCTATAGGTCGATTTGCTCGGGGATGTCTGCGGAGAAAGACAATGTGCGATATCCGAGAAGGCTTCAAGCTGAACCAGGTTTGGCAAAGACTATACCAAGACCGTGAATTCAAACTGCAGCCCGTAAACAAAATCGGTCAACGCCCAGCGGAAATTGGATTGGTAGATGTAGAAGCGATGTGACTGGCGTGGCATGCACTTCCCACAAATTGACTGACCACAAAGGACAGACTCGAATATCATAGAACTTCCGGATGACCTGGCTAGAAGGCTTTAGAATACGGTCGCTCGTCCGACAAGAAGTTCCAGAGCGCGCGGGAATGGATCGGAAATCCAAGGTTGAGATGGTAAATCCCTCCTTTAAACATGCAAGGATCGCATGGACGAAGGAACGAAAAAGGACAAGGAAAGAAAGAGGATTGGAACAGATCTGAATCGATCTATTCCGTGCATCCAGGGTCCCACCGGGGAGAAGGTGGGCAAAGATGGCAGTAGGAATCGCAATAGTGCAACGAGGCCAGACACGGACAAAGCCGCCGATGCATCGACTGACGAATGGAGATGCGTGGCTCAGACAGCGCAAGGGAAATGGACTGGAAATGCCTCCCGAGTGGATTGGGAACTAATGTTGAGATATGTCAATTTGCCTCCAATCTGATGGATGTGATGGACGCGGATGCGCGGACCTGTTATATGTCATGCATCTATTTCGGTGGGTAAGTAAGCTAAGAGCTCTGAGAAAGGTTGAAGAAGAAGGGAAAGGAAAGAGAAGGGGAGGGAAAAGGAAAAGAAAGAGGGAATAAGGAAAAAAGAAAGAAAAAGAGAGCAATATTTGCTTCTTCTTTTTTTTATTATTAACATTATTTCCCCCCCTTCGTCTTTTTGTACGGTATGAATACAATTGTTGGTGCTATGAATAGTGACTTGGACTCCCGAGCCCTCCTAGGCCGTCATGACACACCTTCCGTCTCAGACGACCAGAAAGGAACGACTCTCAGATCCTCGAGGACGCTGCTCTTGGCAGTACTATGTTACACCGCTAGATTTCAGGGCAGCCACAACAGGGGAACGATGGCGAAGCTGGAGAGCTCACGAAGAAGTGGAGCATCAGCCCTGCATTTCGTTCTGCGAATGAGAAGGCAACCCGGCTGGACGGCATCATTGTCTGTGAAATCGCATTGTGAGAGAGAGAAGTTGTTGAATAACCGATCATGGATCGGGTTAGACTGGGATCCTGGTGGTCAATAGCTGTCCCATTAGTGAAGATCTGCTGAGGAAGGAATTCACAGGAATTAACGGCGAAGACACAATCACAAAGACAAAACAGACCACGAGCAACGGTGATTGGAAGGGTTCGAAATGCATCCCAGAGTTTCACGGCCAGCATTGCTTTTTGGGTTGTCTTCTGATTTGGCATTTGATTCAGCCGGCAAAAAGAGATCAACAGCATTGGTCGATGAAGATGGGGACCCCAAGATGATGCATCATCTTTTCTCTGATAAGCCGCACTCTTGTCCGACATGACAACTTCCCCCCCCGACCAAGAAATTAGTACCTGAGCTATAACTTTTTCTCTTTTCTGTTGACATTTAAAATTTAGAGTCGTCCTGTCAGATCCATCGACGCGTCGATTGAATCTGGTTGAGAAAAGTGTTCTCCGTTGCTCCCTTGATTAACAGCGTTCCGATTTCGCGCTGATCCCCCGATCACGTCCGCATATGAGGCATCCATTAATTGCCCAGCACCGCCCAGTCGTGATCAATGACTGCATATTAGACGAGTAATGGCTGGTCACCGCCAGTACGACCATATGTCGCGATGTAGGGAGTAAGGTGGTTCAGAAACCGAGCGCTACGGAACAGTTTCACAGAAACTTATGGTTGAGAATCGTGACGGTCTGGAGACCGCAAACGCTGCGCCCTAGCGGAAGAGGGCAAAGACTGAATGAATTGAAGGTCCCTGAGCGAGAGACGATGGACAATTATGACGCGTCGAGTCTAGATGAAAGTGGTTATTCAATACTATGACTAACCCTTTGTTTTCTTTTTTTCTTATTTTGTTGTTCTTTCATTTTCTTGTTCCGCTCCTGTCACTTTTTCAATGAAATAGAATATTCTCCGTCTCAAAACATACGAGTTAGCCACGGAACACCAAAGTAGCTTAGACTGAGTGACCATCTCAATCGAAAAGAAAAAGAAAAGAAAACTGCGGGATTCAACTAAAAATCGATAGTTCGACGATCGATCGATAGCCGACTCCTATCGTCTACCCGGTACCGTGGTTCTGGTATGATCTTCGACTAGCGACTATTGCTTCAACTGGAGACAGAGATGGAGGTATGTACATTGTACAGTGGTCATACATCCCATCGGTTTCCGCCAAATACCCACACCTCGTAATGGCTGGTCAGCGACACCGAGTCATGGGCCATGTCCATGTCCCATCGCTCGCGTGGATCTCGTATAACGAACGCGACTAGTCGGCAATAGACTTTCGGCAGGCCAGTACCGGAGGTTTTGCTTTTTTTTGGCTGGGAGGCTGCTGACTGGTTTGGGATTTACTACCGAGCACGTTAGTGTGCCCGATTGTTTCTGGAATGTGTCTAGAATTTAGGGATGCACTTGACTCAACCTACTTGATCCTCTGTTAAGCGATGCTCGGCTCCGAAGTACTCTTCCTCGTGCAGGAGAAGCTTTTGATCTCCCAAGCAAGGTCAGGGAAATTGAATCGCCGAGAGCTATCTGGATTCGCTCACCGTGTCCATGGAAAGACATCGCGGGGGATGGAGAGCAGACCCATGGAATACTCGCAGGGCAAAGGTTTATGTCAAACTGTCATTGTTTGATCCATTCGCCGAGACCTCAACTCACGAAACGTCCATGATTTCACCATTACTTCAACGACATAGAGGGAGCTACTTTCTCCGGGGCGTTGGGTAGCAATCGTTGCAACGACAGCCTGAGGATGGTGAAGGAACGGGCAACACCAGATGTACCAAAACCCAAATATCCATACTCGGGCCTACGCTGGGCATCGTCAATGATCGCGTACCCTAGAAACTTCCAATCCCTTACAACGGAAAACTCTCTTATCCCCTTGAACTCCGCAATAGACACACACACACACTACTAGTACCTCCCTCCAGAGAAGAACCCCCCGTACGGAGTACACATAACCTTCCTCCCTCAAAACATCCAAGCTATCTGAAACTCCCACCCGCCACCGGGCAAAAGTAAATCAGTGGAGCCCTACAACTGCTGAAAGTCTGAAACAAATCCTACGAGCTCAAAAACGGAGAAGTCCGGCCACTCATCCCAGCCGAAATGAATCCCGAGAGATATTCGACCCACTGATCAGCTTGGGCTCTCCACAGTAACCGAACGTTACATGGCTGTAAAGGGGGTGGAGTCAGGGTGGTTCGTTTTTGTTTTTTTTTCCTGCGCCACACTCGCGTGGTTGCCTACAGGGCATAGACTGGTACCACATTCGAAGGCAGGTTTGTTTCTGGTTCTCGTGG